CGCTGCCCTGCGCACTCCTCCAAGGAGGGGACGAGGTCTCCCCTCTGGCGCAGGGGCCAGCCACTGCGGCCTGGGTGCGGTCCCCGCCAGGGCGTGGCCACAGAGCGCAGCAGCCCTCTCCTGTCCCCCGCTGCCCCCTCGGTGGCGCACCTCAGTGACTCCGCCCGCTCTGCTCCCCAGCCAGTCCCTGGGGAGTCCTCTCACCCCCACATCTCTGGCCTGCACCCCAGTTCTTATATGCGGCAATAACTAAACCTTACAAAAAGAAAAGGAACGGCGACGTGCTGCGGCGGCTCGGCGCAGTGACCAGCGGCTCAGCGAGCGGCCAACGAATTCCAGAGCAGAACCAACCCGGGAGAGCTGGCCCTAGGCTGGCGGGTGGGGGACGGGGCAGGGGCCTGGGCTTAGCCGCTGGGTGTGGAAGAGCCTACAGTCTGCGCTGAGGCCACGCCTGTGCCGGCAGGAGCCGCCCGCCTGGGGCTGCAGCCGGGGCCTAGGCGCAGTGCAGCCCCAAACCCAGGCCTGAGGGCAGAAGGTGAGGGGGGCTGACCTGACCCAGACCGTTAATCGGGTCTGAAGTCCGAGACAGAGGGAGTCAGAGACCCGCAGTACGCCTGGAATTCGGGTGCAGGGGCGTGCCCCACTGCTGAAGACAAGGCGGCCGTGGGGCAGGAGCCGGGGCAGCTTGGTCAGCAGGCGGCCGGACACGCAGGAGGGCCGGAGACCGGGCAGGGGACCCGCGGCGGGGCCCAGACCCACCCAGGACGGCAGATGCGTGTGGCAAGTCGCTGAAAGCGAGAGACTGGGTCCGGCCAACTGACGCCCGCTAGCACCACACGGAGAAGGCGCCGGGTCAGCAGGGCCGGCCAGGAAGGGTCCAGCCGGGCCGGGGAGCCAGGAAGGAGGATGCGGCCCGGTGGGAGCGGGCGTGCGTCCCTGTGGAGGGCATCGCCGGGGCACACACAGCTGCTGGACTGGGCGCCGATATACTCCTGGCACAACCTTTTGGTTTTCACAACTCAGAAACGAAATTCTTCACGTATCCCCCACCCAGTGGACAGTAACACAAACCCTTTCTGAGCTGGCAGGGGTGGGTTTGCGGGAGAAGCCCCACGGATACTCACCCTGAGAACGCAGCAGCTTCTACTGACCCCCAGGCCCAGCCTTGGAGAGCAGCCCCAGGGCGGAGCCCCATCTGGGGCCGGGGCTGGGGGGGCGGAGCCCCTCGCGGCCATCCCTGCGGGCAGGAGGGCCAGTCTCACGGCGGGGGCGGGGCCAAGGCTCTCGCGCAGGAAGCAACTGGCTTCACCGAGATGGCCTCACTCGCCCAGGCGCCTCATTCTTTCACACAGACAACAAAGACCACCCCAATCGCTCGTCTGCCTCCAGAGACCAAAGCCAAAGCCCCAGTGCTTTCCCGACCTGGGGGTGCTCACCAGGCTGGACAGAGGTGCGCAGACCCTGAGGGAGGAGGCAGCGGTCTCCAGAGGCCTCCAGCCTAAGGAGGAACAGTCTCAGCAAAAGCTTTAAAGATCATTAATAACTGTCACGGGCCTCTCCAGTGCTCCAGGGGTCAGTCCCAGGCAGTCACCGCCACAGCCTAAGTCCACCCCCAGCCAGGGAGAGGCCCACAGGGCGCAGCAGACCCCTCCTGTCCCCCACTGCCTCCTCAGCAGTGGGTTTCAGTGGATCCACCTGTCCTGCTCCCCACTCTGTCTCTAGGGAGTCCTCACCCCCATACCTCTGGGCTACACCCCAACCCTTATCTGCAAAAAAATCTCTGGAAGCCAACATCCTTCAACTTTCCTGTCCACCGCGCCCCTCCAGGCAGCCCGCCAGCCTGGGGCCGGTCAGCATCTCCAGGTGTCAGGCCCGGGGAGGTGGCCACCCTAAGACATACGTCTCCAACCCTCACCTCCTGCCCGGTCCCGCTCCACAGCACCTCCAGTCAGGGGCCCGGCACCTCACTTTAACTGCCCCCACCAAACTCGCCGCCTGCTCCTGTTTTCCCCTCCTTGGCGGGTGTCACCAGCCAGTGAGTCACCATGTGAGAACGAGGCAGGAACTCGAGATGCTTCTCAACAGACACATACTCAGTGCCCGTGGGTGCCAAATACCAACAACGCACCCGCGGGCACAGCCCCCCCCCTCCCCCCCCCGCACAGGAGGCTGAGGATTAAGTGGGAGACAGGCGTAAAACTCAGAAAGCAACGACAGGAAATCAAAGGAGCATGGCGAGTGCGAGCCCCGGTCACCTCAGGGCTCACCTCAGGGCAAGAGGAAGACAGGGAGACAGGGCAGGTGCAAGAGGGCGGTGACCCTAAGGGAGGCCCCACTGCGGGATGCGAGCTGGGCAGGGCCCAGTCGCTAACCAGCGCGGGAGGAGGGAGCCCTGAGCCCCGACGGGCGGGAGGCGGCGCGCATCACACAGCACGGAGCCGCAGGTCCTCTCAGCCCCGGGGCCCCAGGCGGGCCACCCCCCAGCAAAGTCCCACGAGACGGTGCCCAGAGCACCGTCTAGGAGCGTGTGCCACTGCAGAGGCCGCTCTGCCCACCGCCTGGCAGGCGCACCCCTTCTTCTGGCCACTTCCGAGCAGCGCCTCCGCCTGCCAGTGTCCACAACGGCCTTTTCCTTAGGAGCCGCCTGTGGGTGCGGCATGGGAAACGCCAAACCCACTTCAGGGCGCGACCTGGGTGCCCGAGGTCTCCCTGTCTCCCTGGCAGCAGCGGCTCTCTGAGCTCCGCCGACTGGGCACAGCACCCACCGGCTGCGGCCGCCCGGACACAGCCTCACTCCAGCCTCAAGGCGCGTCACCTTCCTTCCCCGCCCCAAAGACACCTCCCACACTTGCATCTGGACATCACGACCACTTCAGGGGGGAAAGGGTCAGTTTCTTATCAGATTCCACTTGGCCCCGGGTGAGACAAATCCAACATTTCTGGTGCCGGTTTTCTCTGCATCACTGTGTGGTGGGGCAGCTACCGCCCCCACGGAGAACCTCACATCAGCGCATCTTCCCGACACTGAGACGCACCTGAGAATGAAGGAGCCGAGGCTGCTTACTCCTGGTAGCCTTAAGACGCCTGTGCCCACGAGGGGGCACCTCCTCCCTGCAGCAGGGGGGACAGGGGCTTCGCAGAGCCTCAGCTGAGCAGGGCAGGGCAGGCAGCAAGGTCAGGGCCTGGACCACCCCCACCGGCGGTGAGCCAGGTGTTGCTGCATCCTCCCCCCAACCCCCACACCTGACTCTTCCCATGACTAGCACAGGATCCTTGCAGACGCTTGGGAAAGAGAGCAAGTGAGCCAACCTCCCCCAGCTAAGGCCTGAACCAGAACCCGCGAGGAAAACCCAGAATGCAGGAAGCCGGAGACTGGGGAGACTGGGGAGGTCGCCGGGCTCCGGGTGGGAGTTCGCTACTCTCTGAGGCATGCGAGGAGCTCGAGCCCCAGCGCAAGCCCCAGCGCAAGGCTCCGCCACCCGCACAGAAGCAGCTGTGGAATTTTACTAATTCCAAGCAGCAAGGGCCGCCTGCTCCAGCCGGTGACTGGGGTACCTCACTTTAGGGTTCTCACACGTTTTTGACATCTTTTTTGCAAGGATTCCTTATCCAAAGCTTAACATGTAAATTCTCACCTGCTGTTCAAATAACAAAGGAGGAATGAGCAGCTCCAGCCAATTGCAACCAGGGACCTAACAGAAGGGACAGAGCCATCCCCTGCACCAGGCACCAGCTCCGGGTTCACAGGGCTTTATTTGGCGTTGGGGAGAGTGGGGCGCCACTTTTACAAGCTAGTCACGTATGCCAGGGCTGGCGCTGCTGCAAATTCAGCAGGAGCGCGGCCAGCCTGGGAGCCCCTGGGGACGAAAGGTTCCCGGCGCTCTCAGAAGGGGACCGCCCAGGAGGCGGGTGGAACCGGCCTCTCCGGAGGGCACCGCGCTCCCACCGTGCTGGCCACCCGCACGCACGACGGGCAGGCGCGCCGCCCAGGGCGGTGCCGCGGGAGAGGGCGGGGGCGGAAGGAAGAGGGGGACTCGGACAAAGCGAGTCAAAGCCAGCCGGCCCTCGGCCCCTCCCCACCGCCCGCCGCGTTCGGGGGCGGCCCTCTCCCCCGCAGAAGCCCGGGGCCGCAGC